AGTCAGCGATGTAGCTAAAGTTCTAATATCTTGATTTTATTGAGTGTGGCAAACACATTAATCAATCATATTCATTGTTCTAAAAATAGGCCTAGTCGAACCGATTAATCGGCCTAGTCAGTCCTAACTGAAGAGGACTAATCGGCCTAGTCGGCCAAAAAATGACCTAATCAGCCGTCTAGGCATCCTTCAACCATTTGATTAGCGCCTAGCAAATTTTAGAACAATTATTATATCGTAGAGTTTTTTTACACAAAATTTATACTAACAATCATTTTGTTGCTTATGCGGGTTGTCCTATATTCGAGATGTCTACATACAACCATGTATGCAATATGGCGTATATACTTTTATTAACTTATGTTCATTGATATGCCCCCAATAAATATTATTTCTGGATCCGCCACTGGGAACGATGTGCTTTTCTTAATGTAACGGTTGCAACAAATTGTGAAACAACATAAGGAATTTCAAGAACAAGCGGAACAAAAGCCACAAAAACTGAAGTTATCCGCGCTTTTCGAGAATAATTTGAAGCTTAAGTTCGTAGTAGATAGAGTAGATGTTACGTTAATGGTTCATTTCAAATACTCATTTGATTAGTAGTATATTCGATAGAATTTTCATTTGTGTTGAAATCTTTGCAGTTTATGAATATTGATTATGCATTTAAGACATTTTAATGATATTGTTCGTTGTTTTGATTTATTTACATTGTTCAATAACAGGTTGCAACGGAATCTTGAAAATATTTACGTCTTTGCAAGAACAGATAAAAATTGTTGCTATATATGCAAAAGAATTTGCAACCAAATGTCTATTTTTGCAATAGAAAGTGCAATGCAAAATAGATTTAAATTCATCGCAATATTTGCAACGTCATTCCAATAATAGAGAAAACTTGTTGCCATATTTGCAATAGAAAGCGCAATCAAAATATCATTGTAAATATTACAACAAAAATTGTCATTGCAATATTTGCTATGGAAAATGCAACACATTATAATGGTTGCAAACTAAATGCAATGGAAAAATAGACGTCGCTTTTTTCATTGCAAATCATTGCAACGGATTAAATCGGCATTGCAAAAAATTGCAAGGACGTGAATAACAATGAAATTGTGTTCATTGCATTTGTTGTTGCAAAACACAAATTGCAACGAAAAATCAACTTTATGCAATGGATTTTTTCATTGCAAATTGGCATTTTTCTTGTAGTGGACTCCCCCTTACTTTGTCTGAGCATTGTCCCTAGTGCTCTCTTGTCGCCAATGTTTGTTTTTTTTTTTTTTTTGGGGGGGGGGGGGGGGGGGGGGATTTGAGGGGAGTGGAAAGATGAAAACAAAATTTGGAGTTTTCAAATAAATTTGGTTCAAAGGGGTAGTGAATTTGAGGTTGTTTGAGATTTAGAGTTTGGTGTATTTGGCTAGGGGGTTGTGAGAGAGGTTCGAATTTGGATGAGAAGTGAGGAGGAAGAGTAGGTGCCCGACCTAATATAGGCAAAAAAACCGTATACCCGGTCGGGTATAAGTTAATTTTCGACTTTTTTTAAGTGCAAAGTTAAAATAAAATAAGATAAGTAAACATACTTTGCATGGGTTGCCTCCCAAGAATCGCTTTAATTAACGTCGTGGCATGTCGCTATAATTGTATTCAGTCACTCAAGTTTGGGTCGTGATAATTAACATTCTTCACATTTTCACTCCTATGACTTCCATAGAAATGCTCTATTTTCCGACTCTTCACTTTGGAAATCTTTCCTGGATCAAATATCCAGATTTCCATTGATTCATGTGGTGAGAGTAAGGGGGAGAAATTATCGTTTATCATGGTCAATGAAAATTTTTTCGATCCCTCAATTTTGATAAAGATTTCAGAAATGTCATTGTCTTTTTCAAGTTTAGAGTTTCTATCAAAGCTTCCGGAAATAGTGGAGGTACCTCAAGTTGGCTGACAAGTTTGATAAGCCAAAAAACAGTGTTGTACCTCTTAAATTCCATTTGCTTGGCCAAACACCTCATCAAACGGTCAATCTTTATTAAGAATGTTATACTCCGTATTATACATAGACTCGAAACCTGCATCGGAACTTAAACCCAAGCGGACATTGAAATTCATGAAGCTAAGAGTCAAATTTGTTAATAAGAAATTTTAATACCGAGTATATATTAGTTAATTTAGTTTGTCACAATACAAATATGGACGAATGTGAAATTTGTTTGCCAATAGTAGAAAAAATTAACAATACCGCCCAATGAATTCCGCTGATGCTTTATTTATTTTTACTGATGAGTATTTTTTACTTGTTGATTGGTTCTAGAAATGACAGAAAAACATATTACCTCCGCCCCAATTGATTTACAAATTTGACTTTTTTTGGTCAAATAGTTTCATTTTATTCGCTTAATTAGGATGTCAATTTTTAATTACTCCGTATATTCTAATTTGGAGTTTACAACTTTGAAGAGATTTTAATGTAGTTTTTGAATATATAAATTTTAATTATTAAAAATTAAATTATTATCGATACAGAACATTGCTTTTATTATCGGTTGACCAAAAAAGGTTGACCTTGTAAAACAATTTAGGACGGAAATTTGGGACGGAGGGAGTACTTTATAGAGCATAATTTCAGCATTGAGAAGTTGAAGAGTCAAGATTTTTGTATTACAAAACTAAAAAGTCAGAAACATTTGCACCGAGACGTACTCCCTCCCTCCGTCCCATTATTATAATCTCATTGAAATTTACAATACTTAACTGACGATAAAGCAAACAAATTTTTGTCTGCGCTCAAATTATTTTTCGAAAAAAAATTACATATACACAAACTACAATAAAAACTTTACAAAGTCTCAAAAACCAGAATCAAATTTGGTAAATATTCGGTATATAAAATAAGAAATCAAAAGTGATTTGTGTTGAACAAGTTAATAAGAACTATAACAATAATAATGCGACGGAGGGGCTGCTAAATAAATTTTAATCTTTCTTTTAAATTTTGTTCATATTTTAATCATATTTTAACATAATTTATTTGCCTTCAAAAACCTAAAACAAAATAATTACTAGTAAGAACTAATGCATAATCGATACATTATCCAAAAAGTGAAAATGGAGTCATGTATCTTCAATTACCTTCACTCACTCATTTTGCATTTTCATAAATAAATGTAAAGCTCGTGGTTCTCAAGAGAAATGCATAATTATATTTACGGTTATATTTAAGTTCTAGCTAGGTGTTAAACTTGTTTGGAAATAGGGACAATTATCAAATAAGCACTCGAACTTTCATAAAAAGTGCGAATAAACTCTTTTACAGAATGTTTTAACCGACTGTCGTCATTTGGGGCGGTTTCCGATGGATTTTTTTGATGAATTTATTTGAACATCTTTTTTATTAAGTATAGTTTACTCATACCAAATTTCAGTTAAAAATGCAACCGAGAAGACAGTCAAATGATTTTATGAAATATACTGCGTTGTCTAACTGCGCCGTTATCTTCAAAAATTCATTTGACTGCCTTCCCGATTGATTGTTTAATTGAAATTTTGTATGGGTAAACTAGACTTAATGAAGAAGATGATAAAAAAATTCATCAAAAAATTCCACCGGAAACCGCACTAAATTGACAAATGGTGACGGCCAGACACAGCCTCCTATAAAATGACTTATTTAAATTTTTTATAAAAGTTCGGGGATTTATTTGGTAGTTCTCCCTTAATTAATACGAGTATATTCTCTTCACAAAAATCAATATACTACTACGTAATTCTTACTCTCTTCGCCCCTTAAAACTTTGTCATATTTTCATTTTGGGACGTTCTAAAAACTTTGTCACTTTCCTTTTTAATCAATTGTGTTTTGGTTTCTGTTATTTCTCTCTTCTCTGCACAAACATCAACCACACAGTTTTTACTTTATTATTCTCTGTGCCGATTAACTTTTGCAAAGTTTTAAAGGATGGAGATAGTATATGCTAGTGGTGTGGCAGATATCTCGAGGAAAATACATGACTTGACAACAAATCAGGTAGTAAGTGGTACGCCAATATGACATGAAGTGGTTTCAAATCGAGTAACAGTTGAGCTAGATTGCTTATATGCATTTTTATTTTTATAGGAAGTATACTGTATACAGTAAAATTTTTACCTATCGCCTATAACATGAATAATGAAAGATATATCCACAACTGATAGTGAGGGAGTGTCACAAGGATTAGGTCCCGAGTTTGAATCTCGGTAAATGCGATTAAAGGTTACTAAATGCTAGGGCCTCTGCAAGTACCAAGAATAGAGCTCATTCTCTGTCACATTGGGATTATAGTCCAACTTACATCCTGTCAATGTACCGTCTGGTGAGAGTTGAGGGACTCTCAACGGTGATGTCATCCTTTTTTTTATGAATGATACCTGCACACATCCTTACTCCGTACTTCTTTTGTTCTTTTAATTTTTAATTGGAACATTTCATTTTTTACGTTAGTCAAAGCAAAAGTTTGATCATTCATATTTTTCATGCAGTACATTCCTTATTTGTAAAAGTATTAAAAAATTAAAATTTGAAAATTTAAATTGAGAAGAATATAACAATACTTTTTATATATTTAATTTAAAATACATTAGTAAATAGAATATAATCAAAGTATCAAATGTAAATAGTGTAAAAATTCCAATGTTGCAATTAAAAGATCAAGAACAGAAGTAGTATATAATACGTAATAAATATACTCCGTAGAATATAGATATGTGCCGAGAATATCATACTACTCCGTATATAGTACCCCGTATTACTACTTCCTTTCCACTAAGATTGTCTCATTTTCGGTTTCCATGAAATCCCACAAAGTTTGTCTCATACCAAATTTGATAAAATTTGTGATTCTAAATTATTGTTACTTTATCAATTGAATATCAACTACACAAACTCACTTTTTTTAATAATTGTATCACTATCTCACTCTCTTGTAGGCTTGTCCCAATCTTAGTGGAACAAGGTAGTTTATACTTCGTACTAGACACGTTATAGAGACAATAGAGTCCATAGTCATTACACCGATTCGTAAGTTTAGGCAGAAAACATAGCATTCATTTGACAAAAACGTAAGTGATAAGTGCATGACACAATATTCATACAAAAATGAGAGTGGGTGTAGTGTTCAAAGTGCACACAAAAAGCTAAATACCACCCATTTTGCATGTAGCTCGTGTGAATAAGTGTTCTGTAGTAGCACATTCTACTTGGAATAATAGCCATTAAACAACGATTTCTGCTTTGGGAGATGCACGTGGAAATTGCAAAACTTCTTCTAAAGTTTCATGTTTCTTGTTGCCGTCAAACCTACGCTCAGGACAAGTGATGACAACTTTTTCAAGTGCCCGAAGAGAGGCCAGCATCTCCTTTATGAAAAGCATTTCAGATCTTATTCCATTGAATGAGCTAAGCTGCAAAACGCAAAGTTGATTGAGTTTTAGAACTGCCCTATGAAGTTTCTTCCAGTGCCCTGATGTAGAATCTATTTTATCTTGACTATCTTCTCTCCACTTCAAAAATGCAAAACAGAAAAAGTCAAAAACCGATGGTTGAGCTTAACACAGATAAACGTTGTTGATTGTAAGTAGTACTCCGTATAATATAAACCAAATGTAGAATATAATGGAAACAACCAAATTCATACAATAAATTACTACGTATTACCAAAAGCCTTATTCGAAGACGGCTTAGCTTCGGACATATGCGAAGTAGGCTTACAAATGCAGAAGTCCTAACATCATCTTGGAAGCGAAAATTTGAGAGCTTTAGCCACTCCACATTTATTGTGGCTGTTTGTGGTGGAAGTACCTTTATAGCATATTCGCCAAATATTCATTCATCAAGAAAATATATGGAAATAAAGTGTCACCACTGCAAACGCATATGAAGCACATACTGTAGAAAATAAATAGTATGAAAGTCCAAAAGAAGATATCCAACGAAAATACCTCGAGAAAATGATAGTCCAAATCAAGCACACGAATAGATATCAAGTCAGGGGCGAGTGTGGGGAAATTGCAGAGCTTGCAATAGAAACAACCCTTGATTTTCAAAGTGCAAAGATTTGTAGCAGTGATGTTGAACTGTAATACGTTAGTACAACTTTTAAAGGATAGATTCTTTAGCTTAGGAACTTCAACAACTTCATATGGGGGATGTGTAAGACCAAAGTCAACATCTTCAAAATATAGTGAAGTTAGATTGGGTAAAGTGCCTTGCAAATGAAATGCAGATGCTTCAATAGCAATACCATGAAGATACAAGCTCTTGAGCGTTGAGCACGTAACTATATAATGCGGCAGCTCGTATGCTTTATGCCCAAAATAAAGGTGGACTTCTTCAACACCTTTACAGGTGACTAAACGTAGCCATTGATCGAAGTCAAAAGACCTAGACTTAATGGTAAGTACCCCCATATTAGTTAAATGAATGACAAATTTTCGAATAGTTCCCTTATGCTGCAAGAGAACTTTGTTGATTACATACAAAGCGGAGGACTTCGCGGCATGTCTTCTATACTGATATTTTTTGTCAAAGTAGCTAAAGAACCGACAATCAAAACAGAGCTGCGTGAGAGTGAACCAGAGATCTCTCCAAATGGTAGACAAAACTGCAATTTTAGCAACATCTTGAATAGGCAACAAACCCAAAATATGGTCCAATATATCTTCTGGGAGTTGACTGATTCTATCTCTCCCCGCCATTCCAACTTGGATAGCATTAACACACGGAAATTTTAAGATTAAATGAATCAAAAGTTAGACATGATAAATCCAAATGGGAGAACATGACTAGGGTAAGTAAATTAAATGAGAAATAACAAAAAACCGACCTAGATAACAAAAACGTTTCTTACTTAATTCATGAAAGATGCATCGGAATCATATAGATAATGGCCATAAGAGAAGAGAAACCGAAAATCTGGACACAATAGCTTGCAGAATTTATTTGGAAGGTCTATCTCGATGAGTGTGTTATGAGAAAGACGTTTGAGCTTTCGACTTTGTCAGGGAGATGTAAAATCTCGGTTAGCGTATCTAGATGAGTGTGTTATGAGAGAAAAAAAACTCTCCCCCTCGCCAAACACAAAACACCTAGCTAAAATGGTGAGAACAATTCGTGCCAACTCCAAGAACGTTGATGACAGGAACCTGGCCCTCGGCGAAGTCGACGTCCCCGAAGCCTCTAACAGGGCTCCCGGGGGTGGCGTCATCGCCGGGTTGGACCAGACGGCTGTCGACCTACACCATCAGATTCAACAGAATGCCCTCGATGCCCGCCTCGGCATCGAGGCCAAAAAGAAGGACCGGAGCGAAAATCAAGTTAGCCCTCCGGTCATCACAATCGACGTACAATCGGCGTTTTCCGCCTTCATCCAGACGCTCACCCAGAATCCGGGTGCCTTCGGCACTCTGGTTCCCCTCCAACCTCAGGTCAGGGAGAATATCATGCCTCCCCTCATCCAGACCCCCTCGGGAACCCGGTCCTCCGGATTGGGAACGTCGAGGGGGTCGTGGCCCAAGATACGGCCTCCCAGAAAGTCCAATCCCGGGACCGCCACAACGTGAACAAAGAACAACTCCGGACCTCCGCTCTCGAGAGACTCGGAGGGGCGCAAGACCGCCGAGGGGTCCAAGACCGCCTCGGGGGGAAGGCGTTCCAGAGGCCTCAGGAAAGTGGCGGGTCCGTTTCCAGGGCCAATGAAAGACGTCCCCCTCAGGACAAAGGCAAGACACCCCTCCATGCCAACGACGCCCGCCACCAAATCAACCAGGCCCACTCGGCCCGCGTCAATTCACAGAGGGCGGAGGCCCTCTCGAAGGACCCCCGGGACGAAATCATTGCGGCCCTCCAGCACCGGCTTGATGAGATGGAGGCCACCAAAGCACACGCCACCACCTCTGCCCCTCATATAGACCTCAAGTATGAGGCGATGTTGGCCAAGATGGAGGAAATGCAGAAGAAGATAACTGAGGGCTCCGGGGAACCCACCATATAACTTTGGACCCGGACGCCATTTACCCCAAGGGTATTGGCGGCCCGGATCCCGGAGAAATACCGAGGGCAGCTCATCAAGCCCTACGACGGAAAGACTGACAGCAAGCACCAACACAGTATGATGATGATAGGGGCATCGGATGAATATTTGTGCTGTTGGTTCCTCTCCACCTTAGAGGGGCCGGCTTACGAATGGTTCAATCAATTTCCCGAGGGCTGCATTGACTCATGGCAAGAACTCGCACAGCGATTCTTGACGCAATTTGCGAGGAGGTGCCGCACAAGAAAACACTTCTCCCCCTTGCTGACAGTGAGGCAGAGGAAGGAGACCCTTCGGGACTTCTTGGAGCGCTGGAGAACGGAGGCCGATAAAGTTGATGGCGCTGACGACGGGACCCTCCTGGCCCTCCTCCAAACAGTACTCCGCCTCGGGAACTTCTCAAGGAGCCTCATCATCGACCCCCCCCCCCCGCCCCCCCCCCCCCCCCCCCCCGCGATTATATAAGGGCCATACAACGGGGGGACAGGTATGCCGAAGTCGATGAGGTGGAGAAGTGCCATCACAACCCCGATCAGCAACGCCCTCGGCCAGATGACAAAGGCAACCGGGGGTCGGGGGCTCCCCGTAACCAACCCAAGAATTCGGTACCCCCCCGGTGATCGCCCCCGACACGGCCAAGCCAAGCCCGGGGGAGGTTACAAAGGGAACCCGAGGGCTTAGGCACAACCTGTTCTCCTGGAGCACCCTCGGACACCTTTGACGCACCCCGTCAGCGTCATCCTTGATTTCGCCGAGGAGAGGGGCCTGGTGGAGCGAGATTCCCATGCACCCCCGGAAGTATATGCCATCAACCCAAACCACCCCTACTGTCGCTTCCACCGGCATCAGGGGCACAGAACCGATGACTGCCATCAGCTGAAGACGGCCATCGAAAGGTTGATACAAGCGGGCCATATGTCCCAGTTTGTCCAGGGCCCTCCGCAAAAGGGCCCCCCTCACCAAGGGCCACCTCGAGGGCACCCAGCGAGAGCAAACGCATGGGTAAACCCCAACACCATCCCCCTCGGCAAGAAGAGTGAGATTGGGAACCTGGAAGAAGAGGAGGAGGAATACCCCTGGTACCAAGAAAAGAAGCGCCACATCCTCATGATCACGGGGGGCAATACCGGGGGTGATTCTACAAGTCAACGAAAGAAGTGGGCTCAATCACTTTACGTGGGGGAAGTCACTCATATGCCCCCAGTAAAGCGGCTGAGGGAGGAACCCATTACCTTCACTAACGCTGATCTCCCCCCAGTGTCCTCCCCACACAGGGATGCCCTCGTCATCCGCACGGAGATAAATGACACTATTATTCACCGAACTTACATTGACACAGGCAGTTCTGTCAATGTAATGTACCTCAGTACCTTCATAGAGCTGCATCTGGAGAGGGGGTCCCTTCGGCCCATCAAGACCCCTCTTGCCGGCTTCACTGGCGACACCATTCATTCCGAGGGGGTCATAACCCTCCCGGTACTCTTCAGCGACGGGCTCCATAGAGCCAAGCTCGAAGTGGAGTTCGTCGTCGTTAACATCGACTGCGCCCACAACATCATCCTCGGCCGGCCAGCCCTCGAGGATCTCGAAGCCATCATCTCCATGAGGCACCTCTGCCTCAAGTTCCCAGCCGAGGGGGGCATCGGTAACTCGAGGGGGAACCAAAAGCTTGCCCGCGCTTGCTACCTTCAAGTGACAAAGAAGGTTAGCAAGGCGGAGTTCCGCGTTGACACCATCACCGGAACTGTGGAAGCGGAGGAGAAGAGACCGAGGGCTGAACCAGCCAAGGAGGTAGAAGACTTTGCGCTCGATCCGGCCAAGCCGGAGAGAGTCGTGAAGGTTGGAGCCAAGCACCCCGAAGACTTGAAGACCGACATCATCAGCACCCTCCGCGCCTACTCCATCGTTTTTGCATGGGGGCCGGAGGACATGCCGGGGATCAGCCGAAGGGTCATCACCCACCGCCTTTCGGTGGACCCTTCGGCCAAGCCAGAACAACAACGGAGGAGACCCCTCTCGGGCGAGAGCAGGGAATTTGTGAAGAAGGAGGTCACCATGCTCCTCTCTATCAAACACATCAAGGAGGTAAAGTACCCCTCATGGCTCGCAAACGTAGTCCTTGCACAAAAGCCGCTCTCATTCCACATGTGCGTGGACTACTCGGATCTCAACAAGGCGTGTCCCATGGACCCTTTCCCTTTGCCGAATATTGATCATCTTGTAGATGAAATCGCGGGGTGTGAAATTATGTCGTTTCTCGACGCATTCCGCGGGTATCATCAAATATTTATGCATGAGGAAGATGCTGAAAAAACAGCCTTCATGACTCCCGATGGCATCTTCTGCTACCTTGTCATGGCCTTCGGCCTAAAGAACTCAGGCGCCACCTACACTCGGATGGTGGCAAAGGTATTTCAAGTTGTCCTAGGGCGCACCATGGAGGCATATGTTGACGACATGATCGTCAAAAGCAAGCAATCAGCAAGCCATGCTGACGACCTGAGGGAGATCTTCGCCATCATGCAGAAGTTCAACCTTCGGCTAAACCCGAAGAAGTGTACCTTCGGCATACAAGGGGGCAAATTCTTAGGCTACATGGTGAGCCGAAGGGGTATCGAGGCCAACCCCGAGAAGATCTAGGCCATCATCAACATGGAGCCCCCACGCAACATAAAGGAGGTCCAACGTTTGACGGGCCGCCTGGCAGCCCTCAATCGCTTCTTATCAAAATCGGCGGAGAAGTCCTTACCCTTCTTCCAGATCATGAGAAAAACCGCCGGTTTCCAATGGACTTCAGAGTGTCAGGGGGCCTTCGAGGAACTGAAACGGTACTTATCTTCACCCCTTGTGCTCTCTAAACCCAAGGTGGGGGAGATCCTATACCTTTACCTGGGTGTTAGCCCGGCAGCCATCAGCTCAGTACTCATCCGGGAAGAGGATGACATCCAACATGCCATCTTCTATGTTAGCAAGACCCTCAGGGAAGCAGAGCTCCGGTACTCCCCTGTGGAAAAAACGGTGTTGGCTATCGTGTGGACCGTCAAGAAGTTGGGCCATTACTTCCAGGCTCACCCGGTCCAGGTCCTCACTCACCAACCCCTCGGCGCTTTGATGAGGAGCCCCACCAGCTCCTCCCGAATGGTAAAATGGGCTGTCTTCCTGAGCTAATACAACATCGACATCCGTTCTAGGCCCGCCATCAAGGGCCAAGCCCTGGCGGACTTCGTGACGGAATGTACGGCAAGATCAGCCACGGACGAGGAGACCTCGGCCCCCTCGGATGATTGGTGGACCCTCTACACCGATGGCTCCTCCGCCGTCAAAGCATGTGGAGGAGGGGTGGTTCTCATCTCACCCGAAGGCTTCCGGGCCTATTATGCAGTCCGCTTCTCCTTCAAAGTCTCTAACAATGAAGCCGAATACGAGGCCCTCCTCTGTGGCCTTTGGCTGGCAGCTAACATGAAGGCCCGACAGATCCACGTCATATGCGACTCCAAATTAGTTGTCGGCCAAATTTCCGGGGAGTACGAAGCCAAGGAAGGGAGAATAAAGCACTACAAAGAAGCGGCCAAGGAGTTGCTTAAGGTATTTGAGGCACACTCTCTTACTCAAATACCGAGGGCTCAAAACTCCGAGGCCGACATTTTATCCAAGCTCTCGGCCGAATCCCCTGAGCATATCTCAAAGATTGCCAATGTGGAAGAGCTCAGCCTCTCTAGCATACATGATAGCCCCATCATGCACATACAACAAAGGAAAGATGACTGGATCTTAGACATTGTCGCCTTCATCACCACAGGGCAACTGCTCGAGGATGAGGCCCGCGCCAAGCTCGCAAAGCTGAGGGCTCTTAGCTACACTATTGAAGACGGGAGGCTTTACAAAAGGTCCTACAACGGGACATTACTTTGGTGCCTTCATCAAGATGAAGCCGAAGTTGCGATGGAGGAAGTGCACAATGGCACTTGTTCAGCTCACCAGGGACCCTTCTCCATGTCCCGAAGGCTAATA